AACTCACTTAAAAGTGATTTTATATAAATAAACTTGGAAGGAAAAAAAAAAACTTATATAAATGGATACATCCTTACATTCTCAAAGGCTGCTAACGAAAGACTATGCAAGAGTTTGATAGGGACCAATCCACTAGTAAACCTGAGGGTAGTGATTATGTGGCAGCTCCCAAAATATCATGCTTTTCGTGTGGATTACAGCCACTGCATGCAGAATTCCTTCAGAGGGAAAGATTTTGGACGAAGCAGCCTCAGAAATACCATTTTTTAACAGCAGAGCAGGCTGAGAATTAAAGAAAGAGGCTTCTTATTAAAGAACACATGTAACACCAGACACAGAGCGTCTGAGACATTTTAAAGAAAATATGTTTATAAATTTAAAACAGGAGGTATCTTTCTTTCCAAAGAGCTGTTTCATTAAATTTAAGTATCGTCGCATGAGTCATAAAGAACGACAAAAAAAAGTCATATGTGCGAGACAATCCATCATGTCAGCAGAGATAAAAAGAGAAAACTAACGACGCAGATTTTCATCGCAGAGACTACTACTCTGGAGGTGATTCATGATTATGATCAGAAGGCGAGAATAGTCCTGACGTATATCTTTAGATGTTTTGATGCCATTACTGGCTCTCATTTGCCAGTGTGGGCAAGGAAGATGACCCAGCAGTGGTATCCTCATCCACAGTAAAGTGTTTTCGCATGTGCATGTAAAAAAGAGCAGATTTTTATAATGTGAACCCAGCCAGCCTTTGAGAAAATAATCTGACCTACGTCAGTGGTCTTTCCTAAATCTCCTCTGTCTCAGAGATGTCTGTAACTAGAGATGACTAATGACAACCCCTGTTTCTTTGCTCGTAGAGGTTTTCTGGCGATATCACGACTCAGCTTCCTACGCAGCATTTACAGACATTTTCACAGCAGATCTGCTATACCTCTTGAGCCAGCTGTCTGTTTTAAACCTTGATCATAGACCATGCAGGGCTGAAACACTCGCTTGCAGGATACAGGCGATTCTGATTCCTCTGCGGTCACACGCAAAAGCACAACCACTGAAATCTAGGCCACAGCCCAAGATGCTGCACGTGACTTTATTCCTGGCTCTTTGCCGTTTCAGTGACTGATTCATTGATTTCTGATGGTAAAGCCCGAGTCCACGTGCAAAGATCAATGTGAATGTGCCGTTGGCTCTCTGCATATATTAGCAGCTGAGGGAGTGAGCTGGGTGAGGACAAGAGATCCAGGCCAGGACAAAGCTTATACTGGTGGGAACACAATGTTTTGTGGGATGCACGGTTCAAATCCCTCATCGCATCCAGCACTAATTAAAACCTGACAACTGCTCATGTTGTGATGAACTCAAGAAAGTTCCTATAGTAACCAGCCCTCTCTTGGGTAAACAGTGAGTACGGCTGAAGCTGAGACCCCACCCTGATGCTCACTCATCATCTGGCAAACAAGAACAATCAGCAGTCTGGGCTTTTTAATGTAGCAGCCCCGACTTTCAAAGGTGGTAAATTTTAACTAGGCAGGACTGGACTAGTTATTCATTCAATTATTTTTCTGGTGGGGGTCACGATAGCAACAGGCTAAGAAAGTCAGTCTAAACTTCTCCACCCCTGAGCCACAGATACCAGTTCCTCCTGGGAGATCCTTGGACAGTCCCAAGCCAACCGTGAGATACAGCCTCTCCAGCAGGTCCTGGGTCTACCCCAGGGTCTCCATTCAGTAGGACATGCCTGGTACAGCTCTAGATGGAGCCAGCCAGACAGCATCCTTGTAAGATGCCCAAACCAACTCACTCTCAGGAGGAGCAGTAGCTTGAGTCTGAGGTGTTCTCAAGCTCCTCACACTTTCACAAAGAATTAGGTCGAGCAACCCCGCAGAGGAACCTAATTTTTATTCTTTCGGTCACTACTCATAGCTCGTGATCACATTTGAGGATAGAGACTGACCAGTAAACAGAGAGCTTCGTATGAAAACTGAGCTCCTGCTTCACCACCACAGACCAGTACGGTTACCGTAACACTGCTACCGCTGTCCCGATCTGCTTGTTAATCTCACACGCGCTGACATTTAGGATGGCTTTCCCCCCCCATGCATGAAGTCTAACTCGTCCAAATGCTTCAGGTCGTTACCAGTCATGCTTTTCAGTCAGACCCAATAATGTGGCTAAAAACATCTGCTTCGCTGTTTGTCTATGAGCAGACGCAGACACAGTCTCCTTCAGCACGTCTGCAACAAGCCTCTGACCTCTCCAGATTTCAGTGTGGACACAAATGAAGACCACATCTCAGTGCTACCCTCTAAAGGCTCCATGTACAAAAAGACCACAACTGTGACAGAATAATCCCTAAAGTCCATCCAAAAACCAATGTTGTGGTTGGTTACAAACAGCGACTGGAAGTAAATGTTATGACTAACATTTGTGTAACGCTTTGAGATCATGCTGTGCTTTCAGGCTGTGATTTTATGCATTTCAGATATATGAATCATGATTTGGCCTGTTTAAGGTAATTCCTTCCAGCAACCCAACACATACTTGGCAAAAGTGCCTTGTGCTATGACTTTCCTTTGTGAATGATGTTGTTCTAAAGGAAAAACACCCTCAAATAAAAACACACTGCATATGAGCACTGGTTTCTGGCTGAACAATTAATCATACTTTCATCATTATAGTGAAAACTTCAGGTTTTGTGCTATGGGTCGGAAAAAGAAAAACATAAGTAAGTACTGAGGTGTACTTTTAGGGCGATACTTAAGGCTCCATTTTTCTGTAGGGTTAGGGTTAGAGTTAGTTGGGATTTGCCAACAAATAAAAAAATACTGCTGTCTGAAGACGTATTAATGATGATCACAGGTCTTTGCTGATTGCTTATATTAACGGCAGTAAAACATATTTATATATTTATTCATTTAAAAATTTGTCCTTATTTATCACGTCTCATATCGTCATCACCTCGTTGCATATCGCATTTTTTTGTCCATATCTTTTAGCACTACTATGGTCCAGTCTGCAGTGTGTGAGATGGGTGAGGGGTGTGTGTGTGTGTGTGTGTGTGTGCTGACAGTAGTATTGTTCTTTCTAACAGGATTAGAGGGCTCACTGGTGCTGTACTGGAAAAATATATACAAACATATATAAGCCCACTAATGCTTACCGTAAATACATACTGGGCTACATAGCTGTAATGATCATAAAGGATATTTGGGACGATCTGATGCGTGGATTCTGCTATTTCACACAGCTCGGCTCAAACAAACAGAAAAGACGACAACAGCAACACACACCAAGCTGCTCTAGTCACTGCTGTCTCACAACCATCCCTTTAGTTCAGCTGATTTAGAGTTTAAGAATCTGCCTTATGATAGTAGCAAATGAGCATCACTTGTAATAATCACTTAATCACAGCACTGATCTCAGCTTTCGGTCTGTTTGAACTGAACCCTGGTGTGTGTTTTTCCTCCCTCGTTTACGCAGGTGAGAACACATTTCACACTCGGGTGCGGACTAAAATAACTGGCCTGAGATCATCTGAGCGAGGAGGACTCCGTCCGTTTCCAAACAGACTCAGCGCAGCTCAACTGCAGTTAAAAAATAAATAAAAAAATAAACAAAAAAACCCCGTTCTTCTCCAAATCGACCCAGACACAGTGTGTGCTTCGGGTTGAGAGATTTTTCTTTAATGCTAGCTGCTAAACTGACACGCAAAAATGAAAAGAAATGCTGGATACGGTACACTAAATATTTAAACAAGCTAGGTATAATATTTAATATTTGATGATTTCATATTTGTAACATAAACATGCCAAAGGTTTCTTTATGTTTTTGCATCGCAGTATTTCTGACCAATGAATTTTATGCTTATGTTTTATGTCCCATCCCTTCCCGGCTCTCACCTTTTTTTTTTAATTTTTTTTTTTTATTATTATTATTTAATTATGTGCAGTGTGAAACCAAACAGCAAAGGAACCAAAAGGACTAATATCACTTTGTTAATCACTAATAACACTCGGCAAACGCACTAACAGATGAGAACTCAGTGGTTCTGTACGTAAGCACATCAGCAGGTTGGTCCACGTGAAAAGGTCAAGGGCGTGACCTTTAGGGGCTCGCTTACCTTCCACGCTGTCCGAGCAGGACGTTCCTATGCCTGTGTCGGCGCTGTCGGAGGCGGCGCTGTGGCGCCTGGCGCGGTTACTGCTGCTGATGGAGGACGAGCCGTGCCATGCTGACTCACAGCCTGGCACCCACCCAGGAGAGGACGCACTGGAACCTAGACAGCAAAACCAGAGGACACGGTCACCACAGAAACAGTGCTCACGAGGGGAAAAACATTCAAACAGTTAGAACCCACTCATAACACAAGCGTGTAGAGACTAAATGACCAGGCTTGCATAATCCTGAGCCCTGTTTATCATAATCGTAAAATGATTCTGACTCAGTAGAGGCAGAGTGAGATGAGGAAGCAGAGGAAAATCTAAACATATTCCAAACACTCAGTGTTCAGTGTGCACACCGCAGCTCTCTCTCTTCACCCTGACTCATACAAGAACAAAACAAGGCCAAGCGTGTGTGAGTAACACCAACCCATAAGCCCGGGTTTTAACTCTCCATCAGCTAACCTGAGCTATTTCAGGGTGTAATGCGGTTAGACAGTCATTACGGCTGTCCTCTTTAACACAAGCCAGGGGGGAATTCTGTTACAGCTACAGTCACACGTAATATTAATACTTCCACAGAGCGGTATACCCAGTTAATTCAAATTTACAAAGTTACAGTGGGCACAAAAAAAAGAGGAATGTACTACATATAATATCTAATTCAAAATATAATAGCCGACATTCTACCTCATACACTACAGACAATTTGGAAATGCCAATCAGCCTACAACACATGTCTTTGGACTGGGGGAAGAAACCAAAGAACCCAAATGAAACCCCTGAAGCAAGGGGAGAACATGCAAGCTCCACACACACACACACACACACACACACACAGAGCGGAGGTGGGATTCAAACCCACAACGCTGGAGGTGTGAGGCAAACATGCTAACCACCAAACCACCAAGCCCCCTGCCCTACCTAAACATATACGTAATTCCATATACGTATATACGTTTCTGTGTATAAATACATATATGATGTATATTTACCTCCTCAAAACAGCCAACTGTATAGTCAGTGTTATAGATTTAACAAGGGAACATGTCTGTAAGTTGACTGCCCTAAAGCATATACTTGTGTATACAGTATAACTCATTTAAAGGTTTTTAAAAAAAAGTGCTACTGTGTTTCCTGTTCATGCTGTGAGCAGCCATTTTGATTTGGTGTCACTTGCTGAACTCGCGGTTGAGGAGACCGTGCTGACATTTATGTAGAAATTTCAGATTTGAGTTGTGAGCTATAATCAAACGTGGTATAAATGTACCATTTACTGTTGGTCCTAAAGCAATCTCTTTCCACTGAGAGGGGGGCCATATTATACATGTGCAGTTGCAGACCTACAAAGTGACCTATGCAGTAGGTAGACCTAATAAACTGGCAATAAAACCTCCTCACACACAAAGAGACCTCTACACCTTGGCGGGAAAATGGAATTTTCTCTAGTGTGGATGAACTTAAAGGTTTGTTAATTGAAACCTAGAGGAAATTTCCACCACAACTGTTACAGAAACTGGTCGATTCAATACCCAAACATCATCAAGGGGTTCTGTGAAACAAAAGATGGCAAGCTAAATACCAAGTGTGATCTTTAATAAAGTCACTACTGAGTGACCAAATACATGTTTGTCTAATTATGACCCGTATATCTATTATTTTTTACATCTTTAAACATATTTTTTGGGAAATGTTTTGCTTGAAATGTGCTCAGCTAAGTTAGAGAATTGTAAAGACTGGATCTGGAGTGAGCGCGCGGTGGCTCCTGGATCAGCGCTGGAGATGAACGAACATCGAACATCAAATCTCTTTTCCTTCTGTGCACAGGCAAAAAAAAAACAGGCATGCGCTTTGATTAGTGTCGTCTTTCCTCCCGCGTCACTTATGTCGCTTATGTCATCAGTAGTTGATGTAAACCAAACTTCGTTATGAAAATTAATACATAATTATTACGAAACGTTTGAATGGAAATCCAGCTGCTGCGCTTTTCTACAAGTTTGAACGTGCGAGCTACAGTAGCCCGTATCCGCACGCTAAAGGTGAGATAAACTCTAGACTTTTTTTCTCTGGAACATGTGTGAGGCGCGTCTCGAGCGTCCACCGCGGGCGATCGTATAGCAGGCAGCGGCGTGCTCCTTCAGGATATCACGCATACTTCAGATTTTTTTTAACGTGAAACTCGGTCGGATCATGATGACACACTTCCTGTGTTCAGACTAATATCCCTTCAGCTCCTGTTTCACAGTAAAACGTATACAGTAAGTGCGGAATAGAAGACTCCGGGGTGTGCTGTTACAGGAAAATAATCAGTGACAGGATGGTGTGATGTTACTTTTATTTTCCAATATCAGCACGTCCCTAAGTGTCTTATATCTCTTATACGACAGCAACTTGGCAACAATTTTTTATTTAAATATTTTTTTTTATTTATTAAAGAACGACACATCATATTTTTTATCCACTTACAGCTACATTTAATGTTTTTAAATGTCTAAGAAATAAGCTAGTTTCTGTTATCACATACATCATAACACCAGCTTCTCTTTTTTCTCTCTCTTCACGTTAATAAGACAAAAAGTTGCAGCTTGTAACTGATCCGCAGCAAAGAGCAACGTTCTGTAACGTTACAGCTTTACCTCCGAGTGTTACGAAGCACTGACACTGGAGACTCCTTCCATAAATGTTAAATAAAAGTCTTTTATAAACGTCTACAAACTCAATCCGTCTGCAGCTTGTAAGAAGGGAAAACAGGTTTGACCAAATGTTTTTCCTCAAAATGTCTTGAGGACAGAAAAACTTGGGATTGCAAGCAATCAGCAAAAATAAAACATCGTACAAAACTCACATCACCACACAGTCGGTATTTAAGACTCCGTGAGATCACGATTGTTGAATATCGGTCTTTATCTTAGGCGACGTTTACGGGACAACGATGTAGTCAAAAATAGAAACGTTTTTCTACTGCGTTTTCAAAAAAAGTTTCACGTATACACGACAGCGTTTTCAACATATCCGCGATAACGGCCCAAAGTGCTGTATTACGTATGCCACAATAGACACGTACTGCACACGTACTACGCACGCGCATGACATCACCATTTTCAAAAGATTCCCGTATTGGGTGTTTACATGGAGACGATAACGGCGGCGTTTTCAAAAACTTTATGCGCTTTATGCACTTTATGCGTTTATATATGCATTTTCAGTCCCCGAAACGCCGTTGTCGTGTAAACGAACAGGCAAAACGCATAAAAAGTTTCCCGTTTTTGGCTGAAAACGTCGTCGTCGTGGAAACGGCCCCTTAGAACCAATTCATGGCACATGCTGAGGTCTGAGAGAAGTGAAAGTGTGGTATGTATGATGTGTGTGTGATATTTGTGATAACGCTGGGCCTCATTTATCAAGCTGGAGATGAACGGATTTATCTGTAAATCATTAGCACGAGCTTTTACACAAGAAATTTAGTAGTCATGAAAATCCCGGAAATTCCCCCACATCCCGTAAAAAACGTTCGTATCCTACTCGTGCTCCTGATGGGTGTGTAAATTTACACATGAGAAGACTAACTAATGTAAACTTCGATTCGATCGACTTCGAATCATATAATTTGCATGGATTACTTCATTATTATCTGGAATAAACTTCTTATTTTTATTAAATTTACAGGATTTAGCAGACGCCCTAATCCAGAGCGACTTGTAGAAGAGTTTGGAGTCTCTATCAGAAACACATCCTCATGCTAGTTCACTACAAGTAATGATTATTATTATTATTATTATTATTATTACTACTACTACTACTACTAATAATAATAATAATAATAAGCAAGCGCTGAATCTTTCATCATCTGAGGCATTTCTTTTACAGCTTACACATCGGCCTGTCCTCTTTTTATACACCACCATTTCTTTAGTCATAATGGAAAAGTTTAATTTAATTTCTGGGTTTGTTTTGGATCACTTTCTTTATTTTTTTTTTTGTATTCCTTAATTGGAACCCAGAAACCCAGAAAGCAAATGAAACTTTTCCGTTATGACTAAAGAAATGGCGGTGTATAAAAAGAGGATCTGTAAGCTGTAAAAGAAATGCCTCAGCTGATGAAAGATTCAGCGCTTGCTTATTATTATTAAATATTTTTATTGGCACAGAAGTGAGTCAAAATAACTTCCACTTATCTTTCTGCCTTTACTCTGATTGTTCATTTCGTGCCCCCAGCTGTCTGTGCACACGACCTTTTATGGAGGTTTGTGGGCGTCACTACATGCAAATGAGCCGTGTCGAGCTGGTGTCGAAGGGAGCGTGAAGTAGTACGGATATTTTTCGCTTTCATTAGCACCTTTACCACTCATTACCACTGCAGTATTTGTAGTGTACTTGAGCTTGGTGTCATCCTACGACGTGGTGGCTGTACGATAAGCATCGGAGTAGCGCTCACCGCCAGATTTTAATCGGAAAAATCTCTCTCACGGGAGATTTGTCGTCGACTGTCTTTGTCAGTCACAATGTGAGCGTGATCACAACCAGAGAACTGTTATGAATTATAATGTGACAAGCCAGCTTTCGAGAAGTCCAGCTTTCGAGAAGTCCATGCTGAGACACAAGCGTTTAAGAAACTCATATTTATAATTTATAACTAGTGTAGACAGACAGTAACTGAAAACAAGTAGCCTATATATAAATAACATTAACTTACACCTCATGTGATCTGTTAGAGGAAAACTTAGTTATAAAATCTCTATATCTAGAATAAATAACCAAAAGATTATTGTGTATGTTTAAATCATGAACCTAATATTTCAGTTATTTGAGTAGCTGGATTATAAGATAAGATAAGATAAGATAAACTTTATTAATCCCCAAAGGGAAATGTTCATAAAATTGATATGTTTCTGAAATTTAAATGTGTTGCTGGATGCACAGAAAGAAAAAAGCTTAAGAATGCATTGTATAATCTCTAAACAAATCATATTCGTGAAAAAAAAAGAACATTTTTATGTAGTTTTGTATCAGATGCTAATTATACTGTAGTAACTCAGCAGAGGAAGTGAGGAAGTGCTGCCAGATTTATGCAATATTCAGCTAGTTTGACACTGAAAACACACAAAATACAAAATAGTAATAATAATAAAAATCACTAAAATGGTGTTTAGTGTGTAACAGTCGCTGACCTGGCGTGCAGCTGGAGTAAAATGAACACCAGTGAAGCTATAACATGATGCATGATGCTAATGAAAGCCAAGGCACACTCGAGCTAAGCTAGCAAGCTAATTATTTATCCGTTTTAACTACTACTAATATTGGGATAGATATCTCCACCGTGTCAGTGAACGAGTTATGTCAGGTTTAAGGCTGATTTATTAAAGTGTAAATGAAAAAGCACACATTTAAAAAATAAATAAATAAATAAAAAACCGCCTTGCTAACTAAGCTAGCTAACAATAAGAAGATGCCGTTAGTCGCGCGCTGAGATTCCGTTAGGCACGAGCGAGACAAATCTCCATCATTTACCCGGTTTTAACCCTAAAACACCACCTGTCCCGGGACTTACCCGCTTTATAGATATCCAGGCCATCCTCGAAATCGTTTCTGCTCCACATCTCGGTGGATTTCATGCGCTATTTAAACGGAAACGTCGAAGGAGTTTCCAGAATGAACCGATTCCCTTCAAAAAAAAAAAAAAAAAAAAAACACCAAGAAGTAGCCCAATATTACGGATTGGGAGGAAATTAAAAATTATTAGGAATTTTCTCTATCTGTAATCCATGTTTACGACAAGAACCGATCACGTATTATATATATATATATATTTAAAAATCCCTATTCCTATAAGAGAATAATCCTGAATCGGGTAACATTCACCTGGAACACGAAGCAGCGCTGAACTACAGCGCGACCAGCTCGCTGTGCCAACGG